TCAGCACAACGTCCTTTCCTGATACTTACTTTTATTATCTTTTAACTTCACCATAAAATGGTTTATTAATGTTAAATTATACCAATGGCAATGTAATTTAAAGTCTACGGAATAAATGCAACGTGTTTAGTCTTAAGAAACTATGTATTGCTAGAATATATTTTAAGCCACCTCAATCACGAATAACTTTTGCACACACATGCTCATAGCCTTTGATTGGTTTCAAAATAAACAGAATTTGAAGGTTTTCACTTTGATATTAATTCTCTATTTCTTCATATATTTATCTTTAAGGCATAAATTTCATCAATGGTCAGTGGCACTATACTATTGTTTAGATTTTTAAATCTCTTTGAATGTACGGATTTATGGAACACCAACAGACCAGCATATACAGAACTTTAAAATCTAATAACTTACTAGAATAATTTTAACTCTATAGTAATTACATGCTATAATATATTCTTTATCACTGCAGTGAAAAAAATAGTGTGTGGCGATGCACACTTTTGTTTCTTAGGACAATTTATTGTAGTGTAAAGTATAAAAACTACAGAGGCCACATCATATTGCTAGAAGGTGTGAACAAGTATATAAAATGTGAAAAATAGCTGAAGCAAAGTTTTACCTGGAAAAGTTTTCTGTATGGATCATTTAAAAATATTTATGATAATTCTGAACATGCTACTTTTAGAAAAAAAAGTAGGTGCTATCACATAGCTTGTGTGCCACTTTCATGAGAACTGACCCTTGAAGCTTTATATTTTCTTGGTACTATAAAATCTTTTTTTTTCTGTAAAATTAGGTCTCATGAGCCTGAAACACTTAAAGTTAAAATATAATATATATACCACATACCTGAATAATTGTTCGCAAGACTGTTAATAATTTAATTGTTACCAAAATGAGGAAATATCAACTTTTCTGAATAACTGCTCTTAAAGCTGTTAATAATTTATTATTTGACAAACTGTTACCAAAAAATACATAAAAGTTAACTTTAATATTTAAGAGTATAAAATAAACATGTTAATTTAAAGCAAGACTTCACATTAACCACTTTAATAATTATGCAAGAAGCCATCTTTTAAGGATTTTCTGTATTTTTGTGTATGGTAAATCCAGGACTTCTATATTCTTGTGTATGGGAAATCCAGGACTTTTAAGTTTAAAGAATACTAAGAGAGGAGTTTGAATCTTTTATCCCTCATAATTATGAGGCCTGTTGCTTGGAAATTTTTCTTTTATATTTTCATACTGTTTTACCATTCCCTGATTATCTGAAAATATAGAAAAGTAAAACCTGGGTGGTACTTTATAATATCTAATCCCAGAAATCCAGGATGTCAAGAACTTCTGTGTCAAAATACTTGTTTCAAATTCACCCAGATTGGGGGGCGTAGAGAGGAGAGAACTCCAAGATGTAACACTCTAAGAAATTTTTTTTGACTTTGTATTTTTTCTACACTACTTGAAATATACCTTAGAACTTTTTTTTTTAAAGCAGTTTGAACGTTTACTTTTCTTGAAATAAAGAAAGCTTACTGATGATTACTTAATGAACGATTATTAATGGACTACTGACAGAGATGTCCTTCTAGCAATGTTTTTAATTGTGGGAGGTAGACTGTTGGTTAGAAATATTTAATTGAAATTTGTGGAGGAAATTAAGAATGAGAACTTGTTTAGAAAACCTAAAAGCCCTGCTAATAAGACTTTCACAGATCTGTACTTCTGAGTGCAAACTGTGTTTTTCTAAAGTTGATAATAAAAATTAACTATCTGAAAATAATAGATGAACACTGGGCTTTAGAAAGCCAAGCCCCATCCTTGTTTACAACAAGCATAAAACCAGATTTCTAATCCTCCACAGCCACAATCACCTATTGATTGCTACGACATCTGTGCCCTGTTTTTTGGAAGCAGGGTTTTCTGCAGAGGCAGGGTTGAAAATCCAACCATTTCGGTGCTCTGCGTAATAAACGGCTGACAGGTCTCTCAAGGAGTCATGAAACCAACATCGCAACTCACTTATTTCTCACCTACGTACAGCAGCAATTTTAAAACTCCCCTCTTCTACCTTCAGAAGTTATTCTTTTCTGCGAAGAAGCCTCTCAGAACTCATGTTTTACCCTCTAGCAAACAAAGGGTGAGATGCTTTGTGTGCCACCAAATACAACCTCCTCTGCCCTGGGCCAGTTCTGCTGTGTGGCAGGACAATGACCTCAAAGATCAGGGCCTCTTAACTCCTTTATTACCCCAGAGCTGAATAAGAATAGTCTCTGAACTATCCTAGACTAGGCAGTGGGTGCGGTGCGGGTAGGAGGTATATTTGCTGCCTGACCCAGAGCACTTTCTGCACCAGGCTTGCACCACGGAAAGCGCCTTCATTCCGGATAGCTGTCAATTGCGAAAACGTTAGCCTTGGCATCGCTGGGACCACCTCGGGATAGTGTGTGTGTGTGTGTGTGTGTGTGTGTGGTAAGGCGAGCGAGCGAGTACACCCTAAAAGCAAGTTCAAAAACTGTCCCCTCCCCACCCCCATAGCCTGCTGAAAAACGCAGGCACAAGAGAAAGTTAATTAGTTTCCCGCTCTCACTTCTCAAGTTCACACTCAAGTTCAAGCACTGACTCCCACAATATGTCTGAGTAGCCTGCATCTTTTCTCATCCTGTTCTTAAAGAACACCCTCTGATGTCTCAGGAGGGCATAGTCCTAGGGAAATGAATTGGGACAGAGGAGGAGAGACAGTAAGGGGTGAAGAATGGAGAACTGCATGGGAGGGTGAAGGAAGGAGTCTGCCACCTTTAAGCTTGCTTTTTCAACAGGGAGTCCCCCAGACCCTATGAGGGCCCCCTTAAATTAGAACTTATAAATTCTCCTAAGCTGCCAGGCAAGAGTGGCCCCTCTGGAGTGGAGTGTGGGCTTAGACTAGTTTGTCAAAGTGTGCATGAGTAAAGCGCCCAGCTTTCAAGCCTTCCAGCTCCTATAGTCACCCAAGAGAGTCCCTAGACTAAACCTGTGTGAACTAACCCGTACTGTCTCTGGCAAACTGCTCCTTCAGGAGCAGTGTGATCAAGCTACCACCCATGCCTGTCCTGCACGCCTCTGTTTTCTTCTGTTTAAGTCACTAGTGAACAACTTTTATACCCCAGAGCTGAGTAGGAAATGGTTTCAGACATTCAGAGGACAAGAACCCAACCATGGGAGGAAATTTGGAACGGGAGAATTCTGAAAGGAGGAACTGGTAGCCCAGGATCTAGAGAAATTGAATGGAAAGTGGATGGCGGTAAGATGGGACAGAAAGAGAAAAATAAAGACGGGGGCATCTCTCACTTGAAGGCTCCATACTTGCCAACTGTCCAAGAATAGTTTCCAGAAAGAAATGGGCAGTGAAGCATGTGACCAAACCCAGAAGGGGAGACAAAATCAAAACAGTTCTCATTCAGGGCTCCCCACTTCTAGTGTGCATGTCAATCAGGACCATCCCACCAGGATGTTCCTGTTCCTTATTTCAGCTGCTTGCCTCCCATCCACCTCCTTGGACAGTCTCTCAGTCTTCCTTTCGTTTCCTGCCACATCCCAGGGCTCAGTGGGCTAACCGAGTCTCTGAACTAGAGTTCTGGCTTGGGACTCACCCAAAGCAGAGCAAGGAGAGAATGCCCCCGCTGCCTTCTCTGGTCATTCCCAGAGAGGCACTGGGGAGTGGGTAGGAGGCTAACACAGCCCGGTGGGAGGCAATGAGTGCAGCCCAACTCTCCAAAGTTCTTTCTGCCTAGTTCACCTGTCGCGGGACTGGGGGTACTAGAAGGTGCTGAACAGGTCTTTCCCAACCTTCCGTTTCCAGTGAGCTAGAAGGAGACATAAAAACTTCCCTTCCCCACCCCCCAAAGAACCGGCGGGAGGCTTGGAAGAAAAACTGGGGGAGGGTAGTGTCGGGTGCCCAGAAGCTTGCACAAATCCCCATGCCACGCGGGCACCCGTCCCGTTCTCTAAATAAAGAGTGAAGTTGTGGCCAAGCCCAAAGTGAGGGAGAGCGGTTCTGGGCACAGCGCGAAGGGAACCAGAAGGTCCTGGCACAGCAGAGGAGGCGGCCCGACAAAGTCACTCCCTACAGCCGGCCAGACCAGCCACACCCGCAGCTCCAAGTACAGCCAGAGCAGGTGTCTCTTCGGATTCCCTGAAGCGTCACCCTGCAGCCGCCAGCTTGCCCTGGGGTCTTGGGGCGCCATCGACGCCGGGGTTGCTGGCTCGAGGGCTCCCTCAACAATGATTGCCGCAGCAGCGCTTTGACAAAAGTGCCCTCCATGCTGCGGAGAGTGTGAGCTGTTCCCATCCTCCCGCACTTTCTCAGTACAACTTTTTCAGGGTAGCGCTCCTCTCTGGCCGCGCTGGCTCTGGCAAGCAGACCCGACCAGGGCGCAGCTCCCACGCGAGAGACGCGCTCAGGTAACGATCCCCGAATCCCCACGACACCGCCCCTCTGCCTACTACTCCCACGAAGGGATGTGTCTGCTGGCAGGACACAGGACCGGTGGGTCTGGTAACCTGGAGAGTGTGTGTGTGTGCGGGCCCCGCCGCCTGCCGGTGCGCACTGCGCGCCCAACCTTGGCCGGCGACCCGGGCGCCGGGCGCTTCCAGCGACTTCTGCCGAGAGGCATCTTACTCTTGGCTCTCCTTCCATAACCAGTTCGCTTCTTCCCCGAGGGTGACACGCAAAAAAGGTTCAGTGCAACTCGAGGACAGACAGGAAGCAAGTAGCGTCTCTCCCCTTTCCAAAAAAGCGCCCTCCCGCGTCGCTCCAGAACTCCCGAGACACCAACACCTTCCCACAACTTTCTACGCCTAGGCCTTTTGCAGCCCACCTTCGAACGCGAGCTCGGAGCAGCAGCCCGCCACTCTCCAGCCCCCAGGACAGGGTGCGCTCCCCTCCGGCATCTCCCCATCCGACTGGAGTTGGCCGGACCCGCGCCTGCCTCGGGGTCCCTGGGCTCGCTTACCTCGCATGGTGTGGCCGCTCTCCCGCGCCGCGTAGTCATGAAGCTGCTCCCAGCCCGAACCCCGGAGAGCCCAAAAATCCCGCTCAGCACGAGGGAAGAAGGTGGAAGGCGAAGAGCTGCCTCGCGGAAAAAACCATCCCTTTAGGCGGGCGCCGTGGCCGGAGGGTGACGTTTGCTGCAAGCCGCGGCCGCCGCTGCTATGTGAACAGTTTTGATGATGGTGCTGGTGACAGTTTTGATGGTTGTTTGTTTGTTTGTTTGTTTTCAGGAAGGGTGGAAAAAAAATGTGCTGGCTGGTGCCTGGGTTTTGTTTTTCTTTTGTGTTTCTTTTTTTCTTTCTCTCCAAATGTACTTGCTTTTTAAAAATGCCACCGCCTCCGGTTGAGAAGATTTCTTTTGTGATCACTTGCACTGAGGAGGAGGAGGAAGGGCAGCAGCAGGAGGAGGAGTTGGTGGTGGTTTTGTTAGTTACAAAGAAGAGGGAGAAGGAGCAAGGAGAAAAAAAGGAAACAGAATGGAAAGGAAGAAAGGCGGCTTGGATGGCAGAGCATGTGCGTTTTCACATGACATCTGTGCCTGTTAGCGGATCCACAATGTGAATTTTCACTGTTCGGTACAGGGAGGAAGGGAGCGAGAGAGAAAGAGAGAGGAGAGAGATGGACAGAGAGAGCCGAGAAGGGGTTTATACGCCAGGGCGGGCTGGGCTGCGAGTTCCAGGCCCCGCCTTCTGTCAGCGCCTGCACCAATCAGCCCCTTGGAGAGGCCGGGACACGGGGGAGGGGACCCGAGCCAAGGGGCGGGGGTTAGGGACACTGGAGTCGAAGGCGGCCGGGGCTGGGACTAGGCTTTGGCGACTGTCAAAACTGAACCGAGGAGAAAGACCCACTGAGAGAGACGGGCAGACCCGCAGGTGGCATGCATTTCCCCTTCGACGGGAGGGAGGGGGTCCCTCTGACCCGTCCTTTGGAGGCCAGAAACAGGGGGCTTTGGGCCTCGCTTTCTGGACCGCTCGCAAAAAGCCTGTGGGGTCGGGAGAGTTAGTTTGAATTGATGACAACCCTCTACAGAGCCCTTTTTTTTTTTTCTGCAAACTCTGCAAGATTGCTGGGGGTGTTTGGGGGACGGGTTAGTTTGAGTGGTAGAAAGATGCCAACCAACTTGTAGCACTTTGAAAACGAGTGAAATGCAGACCCGTGCAAATAAGCATCATAACCATCCAGTTCCTATATAAACATCTTTCAGGCTTCCCGCTTCCAAAGCTAGAACGCACACTGGAGCACACGGATGTATCTTCTGTTTTAACATTTTTTAATTGCTCTGTTTTGTTAAGGAATTGATTTTTATTAGCATTTGGAGAATCTCCTGGCCTTGGGGTACAGGACTCAAGGCCAAGAGCCCCAGGATCCTATTTGTTACTTGTAATAGAATTATGAGGTTTTTTTGTGTGTGTATAAAATTGAACGCTGTTTAGTAAAAAAGACGGAGATGGAAAGAAAAATAGCCTCATGGACTCAGTCTTAAGGCCTTGAGGTTTCTTCTCACTAGGGTACCTGTTGACGGAGCAGGCCTCTTCATCCTTTTCATCCCCCAATTATTTGATTTTCATTGGTATTTATTCAAATTATGTCATGGGACACAAAAAGCAATGTAAAAAAATGACAATTATTTAGTTAATTAGATCACTCTACGCTGTCAAATAATTCTCTTTCCCCATTAAATAAAAAAATGGATTGCTTGCTGAATCTTCACTGGTGTTAAATTGACTTTCCCTGCTGTATGCCCTTCCATTTGCAAGCCAATATGTAATTTAGAAAAATTTTAGTATTAAGAGTGAAAGTTGATTGAGTCTTTAATTAAATGAAATGAACAAAAGGAAGTTTCTGCTCAGAATAGTTATTCCCTTATAAATACCTTTCCCCTAGATTTGTAATTGACACAGTAGTTAATCTTTTAAGATAATATTTAAGGCTCCCTGGTTTTATCATTTTTAATCAAGTAAAATATATTCATCATAACTACATTAAAGCTGCACTAAGTTATGCCTAATTTACTTGCTTCATTAAAAATTACTGAATATAAAATAGTCAAGAAACAAATTGTGACTACATCATTTTAATTTTATGTACTTCAAGCAGAGACATAGGAATATTGAAAACTCCAAAGCCTTTGTAAACACTGTAATTAGTATTGTTATCATTATTTTACATTTCTATTTCAAATTTCAAACTTCAAAAAATTATAACTCATTTAGTCTTAAATTTCTAAATATTCATTGAATTCCGAACTTTCTTTTACTGCTACACTATCTGTAATTCTTTAAAATGATAGTTAATGCATATATGAAAAGTATTTTCCCCCCTTTACACATTTTCATATGTTCTTTGCTCTGTGGGCTCATCAGTGCATAATTGGACTTAGAAATCTATCACATATTTCTTAGTTCCTTCTGAACTCTTTTGAGAAAAATTGTTAACTTAGAAATGACATCGCTAATTCTCTCATTTTCAAAACTATATACATATATATATGCATGTATGTGCATGTAGACATAGTGGTACAAAATAATTTTTTTTATTTGAGTAAAATAATTGCTGATCATAGGTTACAATGTGGTAATCTGGGACTTTTGGATCTTCCTAAAGATTAAAAAAATAAATTCTTGAACATTTCTAATAACTTCCAAATTATTTCAACTGAATGGAACCTATTTTCTAAAATAAATATTCAGGACTTAAATTAAAGAAATCAGCATTTATCTAAGAAATCATGAAATACATATGTATAATATATTTTTGTAATCTACCTGCCAGCAAATATCCATATTTTGAGTGGCATAATAACAATTTATTAATATATTATCCTTGTTCACATGAAGTACAGTGTCAGTAATTTTATTTGAATGATTATGGAACTATTTGGTTTCCTATAATCTTGAAACTGCTTTTGGCCCTGGACCTCAAGGATGTTCTAAGTTGATACCGAAAATTTGATACATTTAAATGAAATCAGTAAGTCAGTACTGTACTTAATCTCAAGAGTTGATAGAATTTCACTGAGCCTTGCCTGCTTACCTGCTTTCCCTGCATATCACCATCCCTCAGGTATAGCTGTAAAGCCATAGAATAATAATGACAAGAAATGTCCTAACAGAGGCGAAGTTTAATGAGTTAATCAGTGAGGGTAATAATAGCGTTTAGGATTACTTCAATCCTAAAATGCTTGAACCAAAATGGGAAGAAATGATTGGCTGCATTCTGTACCCAGTCTGCATTCTGCACCCAGTCTGTATTAGGAATCATGGGAGAACATCGCAATATTGATAGCAATATTATATTATATTTAGAAAGACTAAAAGACTGGGTGTATTTAGCCCAGTGTATGGGGCTGTGTGGCTGTGAAAGTTGAGGAAGAGATATAAAGCTGCCTTAAGTATTGGGTAAGTCAACAAAATATGAGACCTTTTAACATTGGAACTTACTAGAGAAGGTGAAGTAATGAACTATTGCTGAAGGCATCCAAGAAAATGTTGCATGAAAGACTCTGGTAAAGATGCTCTAGTATACAGATTTCTTTACTAGGTTATAAATTGTCTAGATTAACGCCAATATCTTCTGCAACTCTGAGTGGATCCACACATAGGTAGTTACCAGTGTCCCAGTGTTGCAGCAGAGCCATGCTTCCTACCTGAGGATTCAGAGTTCATGAGATTAGAAGACAAGATTTCTCTAGAGTTTGGAAGAGCTTGTGTTTGATAATTTTTGGTTGAATGAATGCTTTATACTCTTTGGTCCACTGGATGTGAATCAGAAATGTAGCAAAGGTTTGAAAGAGACCTGAGTAAGATTTCTTCTCTCTTAGTTTCTAAAGGACGGGAGAGAGGGAGAGATGGGAATTGGTGTGTGTGTGTGTGTGTGTGTGTGTGTGTGTGTATGTTGAAAGAGAGAGGAGGGAAGAGACAGAGGGAGTCATTTTTGGATTTTATATCCTTCTAATTTGGAGAATACAATGATACTTGAATTTGGTTACATAATTACAAAATAAAGCAAAATCTAGTTATTTTTGTATTTATTACTATTCTCAATTTTATTCCCAGATGGTAAGTCTTTATAGTCTTTTGGTACTTTAAGTTCTGTTTCATTTTTTAAAATATGGATGCAAATTCAATAAGTTTTCAGAGTGAAAAAGACAGCAAATACTCAAAGTGTATAGCTTGTCCTTTATGTAATACATTGGAAAGAATATGTGCCAAAACATAAAATGAACCCAACATGTGGGATAAAAGGTGAGAAAGTCAAGTTTTGGAAAAAAGACAAAATATACAGGTCAAGAAAAAAAGAGCTAAAATTTATTGAATGGATTTCAAGATCATTCAACTTATTTCTGTTTCTTAAAAGTACTTACATAAAGATGTCTTTGATGTGCAAATCACGTAGTGTTTCGCCTGTATTTCCTTCTATGTATTTTATGGTTTCAGGTTTTATGTCTAGTTCTTTAATCCATTTTGAGTTGGTTTTTGTGTATGGTGTGAGGTAGTAGTCAAGCTTCATTCTTTTGCATGTAGCGGCCCAGTTTTCCCAGCACCATTTATTGAACAGACTTTCTTTGCTCCAATGCATATTCTTTGCTCCTTTGTCAAATATTAGTTGGCCATAAATCTGTGGGTTTATTTCTGGATTTTCTATTCGATTCCATTGGTCCGTGTGTCTGTTCTTGTTCCAATACCATGCAGTTTTGATGATTATGGCTTTGTAGTATAGCCTGAAATCTGGGAGTGTGATGCCTCCATTCCCTTCTTTTTTTTTTTCAGGAGAGCTTTGGCTATTCAGGGTTTTTGGTGATTCCATATGAATTTCATCAATAATTGTTCTATTTCTTTGAAGAATAACATTGAAATTTTTATTGGAATAGCATTGAATCAGTATATTGCTTTTGGTAGGATGGCCATTTTAATAATGTTTATTCTTCCAATCCACGAGCAGGGGATGTCTTTCCATTTCTTTGTATCTTCTTCTATTTCTTTTAACAGTGTTTTATAGTTTTCTTTGTAAATGTCCTTTACCTCTTTTGTTAGATTTATTCCCAAGTATTTGATTTTTTTTGTTTCGATAATAAAGGGGATGGTTTTTTTCATTTCTTCTTCTTCAGATTTATTGAGCTAAAAAGAAACTTCTCTGAAGAGGAAATGCAAATGGCCAACAGGCATATGAAAAAATGTTCAACATCACTTGTCATCAGGGAAATGCAAAACAAAACTACCATGAGATACCATCTTACAGCAGTGAGAATGGCACATATTAAAAAAACTAGCAACAACAAGTGTTGGCAAGGGTGTGGAGAAAAAGGAACTCTTCTGCACTGTTGGTGGGAGTGCAAACTGGTCCAACCACTATGGAGAGCTGTGTGGAGATTTCTGGACCTACTAAACATAGAGCTTCCATATGATCCAGCAATTCCACTCCTAGGTATTTACCTAAAGGACACAGAAACATCAATTCCAAAGAACACCTGCACCCCTATGTTTATAGCAGCACTGTTTACAATAGCTAAGCTTTGGAAACAGCCCAAATGCCCAAAAATAGATGACTGGATCAAGAAGATGTGGTACATATATACCATGGAATATTACTCAGCATTCAAAAAAGATAAAC